ACAGTGTAGCCTTAGGGCAGCCGGTATATTGCTAGCTATACTGGCTAGCAATGCTTATTTGGATTCCTAGCCACATTAGCAATTGCGAAGAACTAGCTAGCTACAGTGTATTGCTACCCATTGGTTACGGTATGAGTTAATCGGTATTTATTATTTATTATTTCTTTTGTATTTTTTTAATATATTTAATATTTTGAGTAAAAAAATTTATTTTTTTGTTTGTTTGTATTTTTTTAAACGGCTACTTTTTCAACCACTTGAAATTTTTTTTATTATATATTTGAATGGAATAATTCTTTTAATACATTTAAATTAACATATTTTCCCATAATTAAATAAATAAAAAATACATTACATATTTTCTCACAACTATAGAAATAAAATATAAAAAAAAGACATTACATATTTTCTCACAAATATAAATAAATTACATATGACCACCCCCTTGATTTAGTTTATTTAAGATTTGATTTTGTTGTTGAATGATCCATGCCTTTGATAATTATATTGGAGCCTTCGATGGATCTTGACGCATTATATTTGTTGATAAATTAAAAAAAAAAAATTCAAAAGACAAAGAAATAGAAATCATACATATTTATTTGAAAATAAAAAAATAAAATAAAATAATCAAAATCATAAATCATAAATATATTTTTTTACAGTAAAAATAAATTACATATAAAAGGAGATAGTAAAGAGAAAAAAAAAAAAAAAGAGAAAAAAGAAGAAGAAGAAGAGCCGTTGCAGTTTATGGGCCAGTCATCACTCGCAACTGATATGTTATCTGTAATGATTGGTTTTGCGATTGTTCATTTAGGACCCACCATTTGCTAGCCTTATACCATGCAACACACTAGCTTCCTTGACTTTCCAGCTGGCAATAGAGCCACTGCACTAGTTGCTCTTATGATATTTCCTTGCCTTTCTAAGAGAAGGTCGAGGGTTCAAGTATTGCTCCCACGAGACAGTATCATGCCATTCGCAGTCCATATCTCACGCGTAGAAAGATGAAGAATTGAAGTATTTTTTATTTTTTATTTTTTTTCTAGTTGGTACTCACACACACATGCCTTCACTAAGACTCGAACCCCTGACCTCTCTTTGAGAAGTAGGGGTTTGTTACCGCTAGGTCACTGGCCTGTTGGTAAGAATTGAAGTATTGTATCCAGCAGAAATGTTTGGAAGAATTTGTACATGATGATAGAAGAATTAATGTAACATGAAGATTGTAGGTACACAAAAATGCCTGGTCTTTATAAACGATAGTAGTTTTCATGCCATACACCTCTGCCTTTCACTCTCTCTTTTTCCATATTTATATTGTTACTGTGTTGCCCTAATTTCCTTCCTTTCATACCCTTTGCATTTGGATGGCCATGCCTCTACATTTGCTGGTTGGCTTGGCCCACATGAAAAGGTAAATTTAGTTGGGCTAGGTTTACATTTTTTGGGCACATCGTTAGTGGTTCGGCCCATCCTTAGTGTTTCAGTGATTATACTTGTGGGCATATTTGCCCTTTCAAAGATCATTGCAAAACTAATGTACCTTGAGTTTTGAGTATGTGAACACAACAACACAGTGTGAAATAAGAGTTACACGGGGTGCGGAAATAGTTAGTTGATTTTAATTGTGAATAACTCCTTTATGACCTAGATCTGACTATTAGGTCAACTTGCTCAATTTATGATTGATTAAATTATATAATCAATTAAACATCCACAATCATAAATATAAATACTGAAAAATAAAGCAAGTCAAGTTTAGAGAGATTGCACCAGGATTTTTAGCGAGGAAACCCCAGTTGATAAAATACGTCAATTGTTTGCATGGGAAAAACCTCGTGGACTATGCAGTCCAAAGTAAACCAATCCACTATGTTTGAAACAAAGTATACTGAACTTTGACTCTGGCTCACACCCTATCGCTTTACCTAACACCAACGGCTGACGATCCTCTAGCTTTGCGACTCCTCGTCCAACAGTAACTTGACCTCAGGCTTACACTTGATATTCGTAGAAGAGTAGTAGGTAAATCAGACAGCACTCCACGAATGCTCCAACCCTTCCAAAGTGTGACTGCGTTTACTTCTGCTCTTCAAGATCTAAACTTGATTGTAGAAGAATTAAATCCCGCTGATCATTCGGAATCTCTGAATTTTCAATACAGCTCCAATTCCAATGAGATAAAGAACAACACAACTAAATCACTCATGAATATATATCTTTGCTCTCAAAAATAAATCCAAAATAATCAGATTTGATTTTTTGAATTTTTCTCTCTCTAAAGGCTTTCTCAAAATATAGAATTGATTTTCCCTAAAGCCATGAATAAACCAATGTATATGACATGGTTTATATAAAATTTAAAAAAATCCTAATCCTTCAGAAAATATTTTAAATTTCATGCATAGGACTTGGAAGGAAGTTGGGATCAAAAAGGAAACATCAGAAGAAGGAAACTTAAAAACCTGATGCATCCAGGACTTCTTGAACCGGTTTAAGATGGCCAGTAAAGAATCTCACGAATTCTTGAACCAGTTCAGCCTTCTTGAACCGGTTCAAGATGGCCAGTCTTGAAATTTTGGCAATTTTGATGATGTTGAACATGTTCGATAAATTTTGAACTAGTTTAAGATGGACAGAATGTAAAAACTTGTTCTAAACCTTTCAAAACCCTTTCTAAATGTTCTCCTACCTCTCAAAACTTCTTAGAGCATTGTTCTCATTATCTTAGAGTGTAGTATATCATGAACACTTGAACTTCTTCAAATCCGCATCCGATCTTCAATTGAAATTGTTGAACCGAAAACTTACAACTCGATTGGACTTGTTTTGACAATGAAATTAACCAATTACAAAATATATATCTCACAATCTCCCCCTTTGGCAATTTCGTGACAAAACCTTAAAATAATTTAGCAATCTACCCAACCAGGAAAGTAAATTACATAGAATGTTAAAGGAAATAAAACGTGGAAATTTTCTTGAACCGTATGAAGTTTCAACTCATGTAGCAACCTGTAATCTGCACATTAGCTCAAACACAACTACCCGTGAAGCTTAATCAAGAAAATAAACATAAGCATAAAATAACACATTTTGATGCCTGAATATCAATGCTATGTAAACACATGCAATGATAACAATGGTTCTCCCCCTCAATACCAAAAGGGGAAAAGACGCTCTCCCCCTGAATGATGACTAATCTCTTATAATTTATCTCCTCCTTTTTGTCACAAATTAACAAGGGTCACAAGGAAGAAATATCCTGGAAGTAGGAAGCAACCAACCATATAAATCTTGTAAATTGAAACCAATGAAAATGTAGACTCCACAAGATTATATGTATCAACAGAAATAACCAAGATCAATTCTTTGAAGTTCCACAAACTTAGTAAGTGTAGTAAAATCACCACCAAGTTCCAAAAACATATGATCTGTTAATTGTTCAGATTTCAGATAATAAATCAATGATATCACATATCCTTAGAAATCAAACAATCAATCATGTGCAAAAGACAATTTTTTATTTTTATTTTTATTTTTATTTATTTATTTATTATATATCTCTCTTTGTGCTCCATTTTTCTTTTTGCACATTGGCAGCTTTCACGCTTATGAGCAGCCAGCTCTTTCCCTTATTCCCATTTTTTTGAGTCAAGGTAGCTTTCGGACAAATCCTAAAGGTAGCCTTTTCCATCTCACCTTTTTCTAAACAGCAAATATTTTTCTTTCTTTTTCAAAATTTTTTCCATTCTAAGCTGTTTTTCAATCTTTTTCTTTTCTTTTCACTCTTTTGGTCTAAAACACATAAAGTAAGTTTAAATTTCAAGACAATGATCAATCATATCAACATTATCTTTGACCAAAACAATGACATCAAATACAAGTAAATGTACTATCAATAATTCATTTACTATACGAAATAAGTAAGCAAAACCAATTTCATCAATTCCTAGTCATTGTGTATGCTTTCCACGGATAATCTATGTGTCATTAATCTCCTTGTGTTCAACATACTCAATCAACATTGTTTGCTTAGCTTCCGAAAAACATAATCTAGTCTCTCAAGATATGCATGAAGATCATTTCTAGACTATGTCTTTGTAATATATCTAATCAAGACAACAGACACCAATATATTTCCTAAAATGAGAAAACTTAGGAGCATCTAATGGTTTAGTGAGAATATCAACTAAATTTTGATTAGTATGCACTTTTTCCAAAGACACGACATTTTGTTCAACAAGTTCCCTAATAAAGTGATGTCGAATGTTAATGTGTTTAGTCCTAGAATGCAAAACTGGATTCTTTGAAATATTAAATGTACTAGTATCATCACAAAAGATAGAAATAATACCTTGATTAACTCCATAATCCAGAAGTATCTGTTTCATCCAAAGCAATTGTGTGCAACAAGTTCCTACAGCAATGTATTCAGCCTCATAAGACGATAATGATATGCAATTTTGCTTCTTGCTGTACCATGAAACAAGATTAGTACCAACATAGAAACAATCACCTGAAATACTCTTTCTATCATCCTTATTACCAGCCCAATCAACATCAGTATAGCCTGCAATCTCAGAGTTAGACTCAGAAGAATAACACAATCCATAATTTAATGTACTATTGACATAACGAATAATGCGCTTGACTAGAAGAATGTGTTGTTATCTAGGATCAGCTTGATACCTAGGACAAACACCTACACTAAATGAAATATCTGGCATAGTTGTTGCCAAATATAACAAGCTACCAATCATACTCCTATACAAGAAATGATCAACATTGTTAGGATCAGAGTCTCTATCCAATTTGGATGAAGTACTCATAGGAGTTTGAATATGCTTTGAATCTTTCATACTAAACTTCTTAACTAGCTCCTTTGCATATTTTGATTGAGATATAAAAATCCCATCATTAAGTTGTTTCACTTGGAGACCTAGAAAGAAAGTCAGTTCACCAGCTATGTTCATTTCAAAATTTTTACTCATATCTTTAGAAAAAGTATGAACAAGGTTATCATATGTAACACCAAAAATAATATCATCCACATATATTTGAGTAACAAGAAAATCTTTTCCTTTCCTGAAAATAAACAACGTTTTATCCGCTCCTCCTTTTCTGAAGCCCTTGTGCAATAGATAAGAAGTTAATTTCTCATACCATGCTCTAGTGCTTGCTTTAAACAAAATCAGGATTATATAGATTAATAAAATCTTTTGGTTGTGCTACATAAACTTCTTCCTGCAAAATACCATTTAGAAAAGCACTTTTAATATCCATTTGAAACAATTTGAATTTAAAGTGACATGCAAGAGCAAAAAGAAGTCGAATAGACTCAAGTCTAGCAGCAGGTGCAAAAGTTTCATCAAAATCAATTCATTTAACTTGAGTGTATCCTTGTGCAACTAATCTAGCTTTATTTCTCATCACAAGACCATGTTCATCAAGTTTATTTTTAAAGATTCATTTGGTCCCTATGATATTAATATCACTAGGTCGAGGCACTAGTTCCCAAACATCATTCTGCACAAATTAAAGTAATTCTTCTTACATAGCCATAAACCAATTAGAACTTTGAAGAGCTTCATTAACATTCTTAGGTTCAAACTAAGCCATGTGACATGAGTGTCCTATATCATCTACAATGCATAACTGTCCTATATCATCACGGACTGTACTCCTAGTACCATGCTTATCCCATGGACCTATCACATTGTCAATTGAATGACTCAATCTAACTCTTGAACTGTTAGATGTGGGTATATCTAGAGATGGTGTAGGAATTCTTATAGGTTCATCAGTGGTGATCTCTAATTCCTTATCCTCATCTTCTTCAACCTCTTCACTTTCTCCACCTTTATCCTCAACTCTTTCTTCCTCATGAATTGTAGGTTATTTCTTTTCCTGCAATTTCAAAATTAGTTTATTCTTCATCAAGTTGAGACGAGGTTATCTGGTGCGATGCCGTCGCTAGCACCAACAAAGTTGCAATAAAAGTGTGGCCAAGTTTAAATTTATAAAGAGTCACTACTACCTCTAAGTACTAATATAGTTAGGGTGAGTAGGGATCGTCCTAAGGGATTGGGGGCTATGTTAATATGGAAACAAGGTCGGATTAGTAGGTCGAGTGATCAAAAGGTGTTTTGTTGGTTAGTTAAACTACAATGTAAGTTAATTCAATATAAAACAACTAAAATAAAATAAAAAGGGTAGAGAACAAGAGAAAGAGGTCTTGAGATCTAGAAGTCACCACTAAACATCACCATTCTAGACACTCAATGTATAATGAATGAGGGGAAACATGTGTTGCAATACATAGATGTGTGATTGATTGAATCAACAAGTATGGATTGACTAATTAAGCATATAATGTCTAGACAACCTAGTGAATAGCACAATATATCAAACTAAGCCATTATTCCTTCCTTTAAGTTCACAATCAACACACTAACAAGATAGAGAATTGTACTACTTGTATTCATAAGTATGGAACATCAAACAACAAGCATGGATTGTCCTCACATCTAAGAAAGTAAAGCAACTACACTACTTTTAAGCTAAGGACATGAAAATTAAACTAATTAAACTAAGGTAAAGGCACAATCCATCAAGAAATGAGTATGAACCATCAAACAAACCACAAGAGTATTCTATTTAATCACTTTGCCTTGACAATATCTAGATTCATAGCATCAATACACATAGACATACATCAATATCACAAAAACCAAGAGATAAACACATGAACATTTACTCTAGCATACATAGACATATGGATAGAATGAAATGATCAATTGGAAGTATTAATTAAGACAAATCATTGTAAGAACAAGATTCATATATAAATCAAGTGTCAAGACAACATTATAACACAAATCCCCTCAAAATACAAAGCATTAAGGTCTAGAAGGCATGCTTAGGGCTAACTCTAGCCCCAAGAAGATGTTTAGCCACTCATTGATGTAGTCATTCAACCCTCAAGGGCCATCTCCATGGTAGAAATGCTTTTCTTCTTGATGGAAACCCTAGAAAAATGGAAGAACTCCCAAAATAGTGTATGTCTCTCTAAGCTCTAGCCTCTTCTCCAAGATATGTGATATGAGATATATTATGATAACTAAGTTATGGTGAGATATGAGTTATGATGTAAAAATGGCTCAAAATCCTTATATAGGAAGCTCAAGTGTCACACCCAATGGTCCGGTCTCGTGCACTAGGGTCCCTTCAATGATTGCACCACGAGCCATCTTTTAATGAGCTGGACTCTGTTTTAATTCGGACTTGAGGGGTGTTCAATCGAATTTAGATGAGATCGATCGAACTGTGGCCAGATCCATCGAAGTTTGGCCAGATTGATCAATCCTTGGCGGCATCTTTTTAGAATACGAAAAATTTCTGAGATATTTTGGGATATTTTGGGAAAAGACAACAGTTGTAGGTGAGGACAAGCTCAAGGAAGTTCGATCGATTTGAAGGAAGTTGAATCGATCGACGATGAAAATTCTTTGAGGATAAAGACAAAGGGTCTGATCCATCTTGGTGAGGTGAGATCGATCGAAAATATTCCTAATCGATCGAAGTTTGCTAATTTCCACCACTTTGCTTCCACTTTGCACCATTCTTCCATTCAGCTTGAGAATGCTTCTTTTATGCTCTAATTTGGCTGAATTAACTTATTTTGGGGATAAGCACCTAAAAAGGACAATAACATGAAATTAGTAAAACGGGAAAGTAAGATAGATAAATGTCCTAGAATGCTCGAACTTAAGGCACTACAAGAAAAAAAAGGCTTCTACGAGGGGCCAAAAACGCCGTGAAAACCTATTCACGGCGCATTCTAGGCCCTCGTGTATGAAGGTTCCGTAAATACTCAATTTTTTTTACAGGAAAAAATCTATCTCGTAAAAAAATAATAGATTCGCTGTAGAAAATAATTTCATTTATATATTAAATTTATTTACGGCATGGATATTTTTCCGTTAATAATTAACTTACGAGGCATTGGAGCATACCGTAGAAAAGTTTTCTACGGTGAATTATAATTACCCGTAAATAATCTCGACTTTTCTACGACGAATTGTAACTACCCGTAAATAATCTCACGAGATATCGAGAAAAGGTTTCTACGACGAGTTATAACTAGCCGTAAATTATCTTACGAGCTACAGAAGCATGCCGTAGAAAAGTTTTCTAAGGCGAATTTTAACTACTTATAAATAATCTCACGAGGCATTGAAGAATGCCGTAGAAAACTTTTCTGCGGCGAATTTAGGTACCCGTAAATAATATAAACCATTCTCACGACTTGCTATGTATGCCGTAGAAAAGTTATTTAGAAGGATTTTCACTTATTTACGAGATTTCAAGCTCCCCGTAAATAATATATATATATATATTTTATAAATAAAGCACCCTTAATTATTGCCAGTTAATCATCCACTACCAATTATTGACATCCTTTCAGCTATAATTCAATTCAAAAAACATACATATCCCATTAAATATATCAAAAGAGTTAAAATATTTTTACAATTCATCATTTATCAATATGCCAAAACAATTCAACATTTATCAATGTTCCAAAAGAAGAAGTAAATCCATTTGTCAAGAAAATCATCAATTTTTGAACACCTCTGTTGAAAAATTGATAAACCTTCTAGCACTTGAGTTTCAGTCTGCACTTGTCAAAAAACCACCTCACTGTATAAAATCCAAGGAAGTAGTTGCAAAATTCACGATACAAAATCCAAGAAAGTAGCTGCATCACACAAGTCTCAAATTCAGAATGTTAATAAAAAAGGAAAATAACAAGATTATCATTTATGAATTAAACACAAACATTTTGCTAATAATTTCTTATATTGTGGATAGTGACCAAAATCTTTTAATGTGTGAGTTGTGTGACTAACAACTCACAATCTTTTAAACTGTAAAAGTCAGTTTCAAAGCTCAATCTTTGTTGGAAAGGCAACAAAAGAGAGACCTAATTTTTGGCAAAGGGCTCTGAATTTTGGGAAGAAAACCCCGTGTTGCAATGGAAACGTCTCAAACTTGTATTATGACTTTCTTAATAAATTTTCATATTTATTCCATGAGATACTAACAAACATAGAAACTATTTATTGTCCACGTTCTCTGAAATTTACAAAGGGTATGGTCTTCATCTACTAACATTCAATTCAGGTCAAAGAAAATGCTTGAATATAGATCGTTTTTAAACATTAGGTACATGATCGGTTGTCAATTAAAAATCAACCTTTGCAATAGCACAAATCATTGTAAAATGGGTTATTGGTCGGGTAAGTCGAACCACTGGGACTGCTAGTTTATGGCAACCTAAGTAACTAGAATCATCTTTTAGAATGATAAAGGGGTTTATAGAGGATTTGTTGGATTGTCACTAAAAGTAGGAATTAAAATGTGCATAAATTGAGAATGTAAGGGAGTACGAGATAAAGACAATAAGAAATGGGAGTTAGGGAGGTGAATTCGCTACCTATCAATAAGCATGTTATGGCATGATTTACTTTGGGGAAGTAACATATATAAATGACCAAAGAATATAACAACATAAAGTAGCTATATTTCCTTCAAGAAAATAATAAAATCAATAAGCAAGAATAACCTATCAAAGCACTACATGTTTTGGTCACCTAAACTAGGATGCAACTTTAGACATGATCACCAAGCCATAGATCATCAAGCCCTTAATCTCATAATAGGAGCACATGAAATAGAAATCAAGAAGAATCTATCAAAGGAAAGCCCTAAGCAATAGATTATCAAAATTCCTAAATATCATGCCAATAAAAACACTTCCATGAACTCATCCCCATTGTCACTATGAAAATGAAGCAATATAATCATGAGAGAAAAATAATCTAAAACAAGATAATTAACCCAAAATGATCATTTATAAGCATTGGAGTTCTTTACATAACATAAATTGCTCTAGTTCGTGGAAAAATCACACATATACATTAATCCC